CTTCTTTTTAATTTCTTCACTCTTTTCTTTTTTCTCTTCACCATCCTTATTTTTGTCTTCTTCACTCTTTTCTTTTTTGTCTTCATCATCCTTCTTTTTGATTTCTACACTCTTTTTTTTTTTCTCTTCACCACCCTTGTTTTTGATTTCTTCACTCTTTTCTTTTTTTTCTTCAACCTTTTCTTTATTTACTTCACTTTTTTCTTTATTTAATTTTTCATTTTCCTCACTCTTTATTTTATTTTCATCTTTTATTTTTTCTTCTTTGACTGGTCCCTCATCTGATTTCTGCAATGAAGTAATAGTTGTGGGAGTCACACAATGTCTTCCTCCATCGACTGGTAAATTGACACCAGTTACAAAAGATGCCATCTCACTTGCCAGAAAAGTGATAACTTCAGCTACCTCTTCAGGCTGTCCAACACGGCCCAGAGGGTGGTTTTGCTTAGCCTTTTCGTAATAGCTCTTGACATCAGTACCACCAGCTCTGGATTGGATCTGCGAAACTATTGTTCCAGGGTTGACACTGTTTACACGAATCTGTTTGGGTGCCAGTTCCAGTGCAGTGCAATGTGTCATCTGGTCTACTGCACTTTTAGAAACAGAGTAGGCCAGAATTCCTGGTAATGATCTATGGCCAGCTATACTGGACACATTGACTATATTCCCTTTTGTCTTAATGAGATGAGGAACGGCTAGGGACACAAGAAGGAGAACTGGCCTCACGTTGATGTTGAACATCTCATCATACTGCTTGAGAATATCCGGATTCTCGATTGTCCCTAACACCAGTGTACCCGCATTATTCACAAGAACATCCAGCTGGCCAAACCTCTCGATGGTCGTGGTCATCAAACTCCTGACGAAGTCGTCATCAGTTAGGTCGCCGATGTTGGTGAGCGGCTGCTTCCCGCTGAGCGCTTCGCAATCCGATGCCACCTGCTTCAGCGCTTCTTCTTTCCTGCCAGCCAATGAGAGGTCCGCCTTCCGCTTTGCGAACAGCTTGGCGGTCGCCGCACCGATTCCCGAACTCGCTCCGGTTATTAAAACTACTTTTCCCGTGAAATCCATCGAAAATTTGACAGAGTATTAGTAGAACGAAGATTTGAAGTAGGAATCAATAGGTGCTACGAGGTAAGGTTAGGTCGGACGGTTCTAGCTGTTGAACATCTAATCTGGTATCAATTGGTATCGTGCCAGCGGGAAGATGCACGTAACAGTATCGCAGTCGTCGCCTTCTCTCGGTGAAAAACTAAAGCTCTGTACCTGTCCCAATTGGCAATCTTACAAAAACCTCCAAAATGATAAAACTTACATCAAGTTCTATTAGTTTTTTTTTCCACTGTTAATTGTAGACGGAATAATTAGTATTAGAAAGTCTTGTTTTTATTAGGTTCATATGGTTTATATTTTATAATGTGTTTCCTCATGTGGGAACATAATTTTCTAACTACAGAAATTATTTTTTGTGAATTAATCGATCGGTCAAATTGACATTTTACGGCGGTAGTGTTTGATTATGATTTTTCTAGTTCAAAAATACAAGTATTTGTGAAGTATAAGGATTTATAATTTTTTTTTCTTTAAAACTATTAAGTGTTTTTACGTAATAAATTTCGTAATTTTATAAAAGATTTGTCATCGATTTTTTATTATTATTAATAACAATCAAGTTAGACAACTTCTTCGTTCTCTCCATTCAGGCTGTCACTGAGGCGAATTTGGGAAGTATTGCGTGGTAACTTGTTTTTCGAATCATCATGAAAGATGTTAGGAGAATATTTTGCACCTTGCGGTCAGTTACCTCCGGCTTTAGCGACATTTTTAAGGCTTTGTGCCCTCGCAGTGCTTCGGCTTCGTCTGTTGATATCTCAACATTGGCCTGCCCAGCTAATTCCGCTTTCGGCTCCAAGTCAGTATTGGTGATTGCTACTACTCTCTATCAAGAATGTTTATCCACCTTATGGTCTAGTCAACTCAAATTATAATAATTAAATTAACTAATTTTTGATAAAAATAAAACTAATCAGGAAACAGAACAATTGATGATTAATTTTTCTGAATCATTATTATCTTTTCATTATCTTCATTTTTTATGTATTAATTTAACTGAAAACTGATAAGTATTTACTTTAATCTTCAACTATCCAATATCCATGGTATTAAGTGGCGTGATTGTAATTGCCGTGGTTAACCGAATTTAATTTGTTTATAAAAAGTAATATCAACACATCGTTAAAAATTAATTTTGTTACTGTACGTTAAATAATAAAAAATAAGTTTGCCAACTTTAGCCCTATCGACCCATTTTGGAAATATAGGCGTGTTAAGTAAAATATGGTTGTGCTTGTTTAAGGGAATGTAGTCGATAAAATTTACACTGGTACTTACACCTTTTTACTTTAATCCCCAACTTTACTCCAAACTAGGTGAGCTATTTTCTGAATAAAGATGTGTCAAGGGAAATATGTTTGTGCGTGCGTTAGTGAAAGAAATGGATGAAAAAATAGGTGCAGCGCCATATAGTTAACAGCTCACAACCAATTTGGTTACATTTCCTAAAAAAAAATTAATCAAAATCCTATTAACAGTTGTATGTGTTATCTGCGTTACAAATATTTTATCACAGACACAATTCTATTTTCTGATGTCTAAAACGTTTATCGCGGGTGAAAATTTTCCGTTATGAGGACTTTTTTCATTTGCGCAGGAGTGCCCAGTAGGGGGTTTTATGGCGCAAGTTGCGCCATCAAAATTTATGAGGGGTGCACTTTTTGACGGAGATTCTAATTTTGAAAAGTTTCAATTTAAAATACAAGTGCGCGCATGGAACAGACCGCACTACGTGTAATTGTATATAATCTACGAATATTTAAATTTTAAGAACGAAAGATTAATAAAATAGGGGAGGGAGGCATCCCTGCACTTACATAAATATAAAATTCCCATACTTTTGGTAGAGAAGGAGCAAAGTTTTCGAATTTACTAATGTTGTAAAAATGAGGTCGCTCACACGTTGTAGTACATAAAATAACTTCATAACTTTTTCTGATTTTGTTTTTTTCATCGTTTTTGTATGTGCCTAAGAAATAAAATCTTAGTTGTCTCTAAGCTATGCAGTTGTACGTGGTACTAAAATGTAGTTAACTAAACAAATTAATATAAAAAAGGATTTTTTCATGTATGTTGTCGGAAGTAGTTGGCTGTACTGGTTTAGACCATGGACTACGATAATGTGAGTTTCCGTAATTTGTTGATATTTAATATCGGCAAGTGATCTGTACTGTTGTTCGAATTGTATTACCATGATGTAACGATTTTAAGTTATTGTATCATGAATTATGTTTGTAGAGCTAATGTGGGAGATTACTGTTATCTGAGGCGGCATTTGATTTTAGATTTGGAGAATAATTTTACGTCTTACCAACTTTTATCCAGTTATGTCGAAGCTCGAACTTCTTCCGTCATTGAAGATGCAATTCTCCTCTAAAGTAGTCTTAATCACCGGTGCGAGTTCAGGTATAGGAGCGGTAACGGCCAAGTACTTCGCTAAGCTAGGGGCCGATCTGTCATTAACCGGGAGGAATGAGAAAGCACTGAAGGATGTAGGGTCAGAATGCAATCAGCTCAGTGGGAAGTTACCGCTACTCATTGTGGGCGATATCTCTGACGGAGAGTTCGTCAAGAAGCTGGTAGTGCAAACTGTGGAGACTTTCGGGCAACTTGACATTCTAATTAATAATGCCGGAATCTCTGGCTTGAGTAATATCCAGAGTTCTGAATTGTTAAAGGAATATGACCGAATTTTCGAAATAAACGTAAGATCAGTCCTATTGTTGAGCTCATTGGCTGTTCCTCACCTTGAGAAGACCAAAGGTAACATAGTGAACGTGTCTAGCATCAATGGTCTGAGGCCTTATCCCGGTCTTTTGGCTTACTGCTTGTCCAAGAGCTCCTTGGACCAGATGACTCGCTGTGTAGCTTTGGAGCTGGCACCTAAACAAATCAGGGTGAACTCCGTGAATCCTGGCACTATCATTACTCCTATTCATGACAAGTCAGGTATGCCTGCTGACTGGTATTTAGAAAGAGCCAAACATTTTCACCCTCTTGGCAGGGTTGGAAGGCCTGAAGAAGTAGCTTCCGTCATTGTGTTCTTGGCTAGTGATATGGCTTCCTTTGTTACTGGGGCCACAATTCCAGTAGATGGTGGCAGGCATTGTGCTACACCAGCTTCAGTCCAATGAGCTAATGGTATGCTGCTGATTTGTTTCACTGTTATTTGTAGCATTTATATATTTTACAAGAATTTTTTTATTGAAAATGTTTTAATTTTAACTGTTATTTATTATGTAGATTTAATTCTAAAGGAAAAAAATAATGTAAACATTTAGTATAACCTCCTGTGGAAAATATCTAAATTTACTGCTTTGAAGTTTGCTGTTAAATGCAAAGCATTCACCATCACAATACAACCATTGATACAAGTCTATGGAAAGATTTTTTCTGTTTTCTTTGATTTTTCCTTTTCATCTGGACAAAGTATTATTTCATTATTGTTAAATATTTGAATGTTTGAAATTAATTTTTTTTTAATTTTTATTTGTAATTAGAAGTATCATAAATTATTTTTCCAAGCTATCTTTTTATTACTATCTAGATTTGGTACTGTGATGAAATAAGCATATAATCCAGAAAGTCAATTATTTCCATAAGTACTGCCATTTATAAAATTAAATTTGTTCCAGTGCTTTTAGTTTTTAACTTTAACTTTTGAAGACTCATGCACTCAAAAAGTGATATGTCCCAGTGGTACGATCTTGCTGTGATATCACCATACACTTGGGTTTCTAACTATTCCACCAATACAGCCAAAGGATTACTGATGTTGGGACAAATCACAAGGCTTTAATTAATCTTATGTTTTATGGTTCTGTAGTTATATATTTTATACCTGATGCTAAAACATTTTTCTTGATATTCTTATTTCTTTGTTTCAGTTGCTGATCTGATTTAGATCTCTTTACCAAAAGAAAAGTTGACCAGTTTTTGTTTGGCCTTACATTTTTTTTTTCTTTTTGTAAATTCAAGAAATTTTTGTAGTTAATTTTTTTTTTATGTTAACTACTATTGTATAAAATTTATTTGTCTACGAATGTTTGAACTTTATCTCAAAACTGAATTGTATATTTATGATGGGATATTAGACTCATATTATGTATATAATAATCAATAATCTTTATGTCTATCTATAGAACAGATTTTTCTTTATTTTATCTTTTTAACAAAATAAATCTATCTATACTGAAGCAATATTTTTTTATTATCCCTCCCCAAAAACATATTATAAGTTATCAAAAGGTTAGTAATAAGCACTTTTACTTTTTTACTTTGTTCAAAATTTATTTTGTGATATTGAAAAAGTGAGTAAAGCTATGATAAAGCCAGTTCTAATATATGTCTGTGAGACCTGGACACTAACCAGCACCCTAGAAAAAATTATTGAAAGATTTGAGAGAAAATCTTCTGCATGATAACCAGAGTGATCTGGGATCAGAGTACGAACCCATGGTGAAGAAAGACCAGTAAAGAACTGCTTACAGAAACTAGTCAATCAATATTTCATGATATGAAGGCACAGAGGTTAAGATGGGCGGGGGATGTAGCTCATAGCGAAATCCATCTGGAAGCCTCTACGTAAAAATGAATCTCTGAATTGAAGGTAAAAAACAAATGGAAGGCCAAAAAGCAGATGTATAGATAGAATCAACAACGATACAATAGCACTGCATGCAGATAACTGGAAAGACAGGCAGGGATGGAACAGGCTTGTAAGGCAGCAAAAGATATACAAGGTCTGTAATGCCAACAGAAAAAAAAAAGTTACAAAAATTATTAATTTCTAAAAAGCTGAATATAAAATTTTTGGGAATAGGATCATTGATATAAATTGGAAGAATTTAGAGATTAAGAAATCCTAAACCAAATCCACTCTTGGTTTGACTCTATCTAAAACCGCGCCTATGGTGTATACATAGACTTACATAATATACATATATATACTGTCTTATTAACAGATTAAGAGCTGTGTGATATCGAAAATTTCGAAATATAAGTTATTCTGTATGGTTTCGGAGTTATTAAGTTATAATTGGTCTAGTCTTAGAATGGTTGAATATAAGATAGTAAACTAATATATATATTCTTAAAGAAAATTTAATATTAAATAACTTTCTTCTTCATAACTTTTTCGTAAAATGAAAATAGTTGGCGGATCAAATAATGAAAAAAACCTATACAAAATATTTTTTTTTTTTCGGAATTAGTAAATAACGAAGGCGGATATCATGGAAATTATAGAATATAGCGAAAAAACTAATATATTCATTTCTGTTGCAAATTTTGTCAGCTTTAATTTCACAAATCACATTAATATAGATAGAACGAATAGTTTCACTGATGTAAGCGAAAAAAAATAAACTTTTAGAATCGTAAATTCAATTTTTTGACTTGTAAACCGCGGGTACGGAGTAATTCCCTGTTATTTCATGTCTTAAGACTGTATACTATAAATTGAAAGGGTTGGTTGCTTTAAACATCTATAAGTCCTCTCTCTATATATACTGACAGGCAAAAAATTCCACCCACTTGATTTTTCCATGTTTTCATCTAAAAATATTTCTATAAAGTTGTATTTGTATATAATACATGGTATTTGTAGAAAATACTCCATAGTATTTATGGAATTTTATAATATTTTTACCTTTAATAATCAAAATGTGATTGGGTAAGAAAGATTAGAGAAAAAAAAATTGAAAAACGAACCATTATTATTCTAAAAGAAATTAATTACATCATCGTTTAGTAGCGCGTGATTCCTCCTCTTGCCTTCACTACTTCTTGAAGACCCCTCGGCATACTTTCCACCAGTCGGGAAATATCCCTTTGCTGGAGGATAGCCCATCACTCCCGAAGAGCCCTTTCAAGTTTCTGCAGTGTATCAGGAAGTGTTGCACGCGCTCTTATTCGTCTTCCGAGGTTATCCCATAAATGCTCAATGGGGTTCAAATCTGGAGAACATGCTGGCCAGGCTAAAACCTCAATATTGTTCTGTTGAAGTAACGTCTGCACTATGCGGGCGACATGTGGCCGTGCATTAGAATAGAATGATCGCCGATTTCGTTGAGGATAGGCAACACATGAGGTTCCAAAATCTCATCTACATAGCGAATGGCCGTCAAAGACCCTCCACGAACAACAACCAATTCTGTGCGGCACTCCATTGAAATCCCAGCCCACACCATTAAGGAACCACGTTGGAAAGGTTGGCTCTGGGAAAAATTACAGGCTGCATATCTTTCGTTTCTTCTTCTCCACACTCTTTCACGCCCGTCTGGAGATCAAAGAATGAATCTTGACTCATCTGTAAAAAGTACAGCACTCCATTCGTCCATAGTCCAATGGCTGTGTTCTCGAGAAAAAGCCAACCGTGTTACTCTGCTAGTTCTGGTCAACTCTTGTCCTCTTACTGGACGAAAAGCCATTAATCCATACTCATTTAATCTTCTCCGAGCGGTACGTTCAGAAATTTGCACACCTCGAACTTCTTCGGGTTGATGAATCGTTTGAACAACGGTAAGGTGCCGGTTTCGTAAAATTCTCAAAGTCAAAAACCGGTCATCCCGTGGTTCTGTTGCCCTAGGCCGTCCAGAACCGGGCCTTCTATTGCAAGAACCAGTTTCCCGAAAACGCCTGAAAGCGTCTCGTAAAGTTTCATATGGAACTCCGATGGCATTAGCTGCATATCTAATGGAACGTCCATCATCAATAAGTGCCACACCACGCGCAACATCCTCAGGACTAAGAGGCATTTTTAAACTTAATATTGAAAAAATTAAAAGCCTGAGACTAAGAAATGTGCTGTAAGAAACGGCACTGAACTAATGATAATCAATAAACATTTTGATTCCATAGAAAGTAAACATTGGAATCTAGAATCATTTCATTGAATTAAGATTGAGGGTTATTGTCCTCTATATTAACATTCCTAATTGAAAACAAACAAAAATATTACCTATTTATTCATTAAAAACAATAGACCAATCCAAAGCAGAAATATGTTTAGATGAAAACATGAAAAAATCAAGTGGGTGGAATTTTTTACCTGTCAGTGTATATATGCTTACAACGTGTGTAGGAACTCTATCTTCACATTGCCGCCATTTTGTACAGTGATGGAAAAAAGTATTGGCACATCATGTTTGTATGAATAATTGAGTTCAAGGAACCAAAAAACTCCCCTTTCCTCTGCAAAAATGAAAAGTAAATTTTTTAAAAACTGAGAAAAACCTTTTGGAAAAAAATGACAACACTCCATAATGAAACAAAAAAATTAAAACAACAAAAATGCTTGGAAAAAAGTATTTGCACACTATGACTCACAAGCTCTGTTTACTTTGGCATTAATCCTCCTGTGTCCTTAGGTCATAGGTTTGTTTACTAATTTATCTCTAATCGTTTATTACCAGTATTCTCTAGTCTTTTAATCAGTTTCCTTTAGTCAATAGACAATTATCATGCCAAAGACAAGTGAACTGTGTTCCGCAACTCGCGAAAAAATTGTTTTACTGTGGAGTCAGCAAAAAACATATTGCCAAATTGCCGATTTCTTAGGGTTGAATTTTTCTACAGTGAGATAAGTCATAAAAAGGTATGAAAAACGTGGTTCAACTCAAAACAGTGAGCGTAAAGGGCGTCCAAAAAAGTGAACTCCCAGGCTGAAGAGGAAAATCAGAAAAGAAGCTCTTAAAAATCCTCTGATAAGTTCTTGGGAGCTGGCTACCATAGTCCAATCAAAGCCTGGAGTTCAGATTACTAGCAGAACAATTAGATATGCCCTGAATTCGGAAGGTCTCCATGGTAGAGTTCCAAGAAAGAAGCCATACATCTGTGAAACAAATCGCAAAAAGTGCCTTGCTTTTGCTAGAGAGTGCGTACAGAAACCCTTAAGCTTTTGGGAAAATGTCATCTTTTCTGACGAAAGCAAATTTAATTTGTTTGGTTCAGATGGTCGAAGGACGATATGGCGACATCGTAATGAAGCCCTAAAGAAGCAAAATGTTTTAACAACTGTAAAGCATGGTGGAGGACATGTTATGGTTTGGAGGTTTGTTTTCTACCATGGCGAGGAAAATCTTGTGAGCATCGAAGGCATTTTAAATGCGGAAGGCTATGTGAACATTTTGCGACGTAATTTGCGTGTTAGTGCCGAAAAAATGGGAATCCAGGGTCATTACTATTTCCAGAAGGACAACGATCCAAAACATACTGCTAGGAGAATAAAGGAGTGGTTAATATTTAATGTTCCAAGACAGTTTCACACTCCTCCTCAGTCACCAGATATAAATATCATTGAAAATTTATGGCATACCCTTAACCAAAATGTAAGAAAACACCATATCACTAGTGGACATCAACTTAAACAACTTCTTGTTCAAGAATGGGAACAAATAAACGCATATTTAATTAAAAACCTAGTGCATTCAATGCCCTTTAAAGTTAAAACTATTAAAATTTAAAATAAACTTGTAAATGTGGAAGTGTGCAAATACTTTTTTCCAAGAATTTTTATTGTTTTAATTATTTTGTTTGATTATGAAGTGTTTTTTTTTTGTAAAAAGGTTTTTTCAGTTTTTAATAAATTTACTTTTCATTTTTGCAAAGGAAAGCGAAGTTTTCTGTTTCCTTGAACTACTTTATTCATAACAACGTGTTGTGCAAATACTTTTTTCCATGACTGTATTCCAGAGGCTATATCCTGGCAGACGTGCATTTTTCTCATCAGGTTTATGGCTCCTGGACTAAAATTTAAACTTTTCCAGTAGGATTCGAACCGAGAATCGAAAACATTGTAGATGGAATAAAATTACATTTGCTGCATATGTTATATGTTTTCTTCCTTTTTCCTGCTTCGAAAGTTCTTTTAAATTGGTGGTAAAAATCATGGTGCTGTCATAATAAGCAGATTTCTTGTCTATTTGAACGATCGTTACCTATTGCCGATACACTTCTGTTGTTTCAAAGAATGGTAAAGAAACTCAATCATCGGTCACTGATATGTGGAATGTTTATATACTAGGAGAGATTGAAAGGCAAAACAAAGTCTGATTTTGGCCACACACGTGGGTTACTAACTTTAGGTATCGGGAGTTGGATTAAGAATAGATTTTAGTAGAATTTAGGTTCAAAATATAAATTTTGTTAGTGGAGATTCTTGATGTTTCGGTTCTGTTTGACGACATCCTGGTCGGTGAAATGGCTATCTGCATTTCCATAACTGCAGAATGAAAGTAGTGGTAGGTCAAACATTTACATAGGTCGGGTTTTAGATAAGTCAAACCAAGAGTGGATTTGGTTTAGGATTTCTTAATACCGCCCATTGGCATGACACAGAATGTCGCTCCTTTCTGATGGTCTTATCTCCAAAAACAATCATTGTTTTACCGTTAAAACTAGGAGGAGATATTAATTACATTTATATCTGCTAAACTGAGTTGATTCTTTTATATCTAACAAATACAATTTTATTTAAATCTAGCCGTTTAAGATATATATGGGACACTGAATTGACAAGCATGAGGTTCATCCTTTTCAAGAGACAGTGTCCGCTTCAAAGAATTTTTCGACGCAAAGAATATTTTAGGAACTAAAGGAATTTATAAGTATGGCAAATTTTCACGACAGTTCATTTCTCATTTTCATATTCATTCAAATCTCCATTGCGGCATTGGAATGAGCGTGAAAATGTATTTAGAAAATATTTTAAAAATTACTAACAATTAGTTATACACTTGTACTATACGATTTTCCATATGATGTCCGGACTGCTCTAAACAAATGGCTGATGGAAGTGAAAGACTAGTGGCATTTCCATAAAGAACTTCGGCAGAAAAATATTATACCTATTTAGACAAAGAAGCATTGGCTAATGTTTACGGAGTTAAAACTTAATAAATTTATTTTTTATCGACATACTACAAGCCATTGATACCTATTTTTAGGCCCAATAGACTTCTCTAAAAACCTACCAATGTCTTTAAATAGATATACTAATATATTTCATCCCTTATAGTTATAAGTAGAGACATTCGCAGAAGATGATGGAGGGAGATGTCTGCCCCGGGTCCGAACTCCGAAGGGAGCTCCACAAGAGGGATATAATTCTGTTTTTTGAATTGAATGAAAGTCATTGTAAAAACGTTAAAAATACATTTTATTTTTTCAGAGAAAGAAGAGCGTTCTTGTTTTTATTAAACGGTTTTCCATCCTGATTTCAAGGCCATCTTCTTTGGGTTGAGGTTCATGCCTCTATATACATTTTTATAATAAACGTAAGAGAATAAAGAAATCAAAAGAAATAATAATGTTAATGCAAAATAAAATGTTTCGAAAATTAAAATAAATTATTTACAATTACTTTTGTATAAGGGAAAGGATAATAAAAACATAAGTCTAAAATTAAATATTTCTAATAAATATCAACTGAAACAGTGCCTGTATTTATATTTTAAAGCCTATTTATATATTAAATCTAATCATCTATTTGATTATGATCTTATTCTTAAGATTTTTTAAAAACTTTTATCTCATTGATTTGAATGCCAATATTTTTTCATTCTAACCCGCTATTTTCCATGGTGATCTGGGAAACAGTCAGTAAGGTTATTGTTTTTAAAAGGCGACATGGCGGTGTGTATTTTATTTAGCTTATTTTTACCATGTTAGTTTTATGTTTAGCTGTGATTTGATTTAAAATAAGGTCATTTTAATATGTATTGGAAAGACTTTTTCGTATTTGGTACTTTTCTCAATGAATTTAGTTTATTACACATTTCTTCACTTATGAGCATGCTATGCATGATTACCGGTTTGATGCTGTTATTATTTTGAAGAAAGGAGCTTTAAAGAAATTATTATTTAAATGAGTTAGAAAGAAATGTGTCAAAAACACTGACTGATCTGAGAAACTTTTGTGATTGCTATTATTTTATTCATGAAAGATATTTGTTGTTAATGCTGAGTAATAAAATAATATTTGTTTATTTTTAGGCTGGGACCCAGGTTAAAAATGTGGAAGTCCGCGACATTGCAAGAATTGAACGAATTGGAGCTCATTCCCATATTCGAGGTTTGGGTTTGGATGACAGCTTGGAAGCGAGAGCCGTAATTAGATTTTAAAGCATTCTTTTTGTAATTAACTTTTTTCTATTATAGCGTTCTAGAGTTTTTATTATGCTTAGGTATCACAAGGGATGGTAGGACAACAAATGGCAAGAAGAGCAGCTGGAGTTGTTTTAGGAATGATTAAAGAAGGGAAAATTGCTGGAAGGGCTGTTTTACTTGCTGGACCCCCTGGCACAGGTTGGTACTCTTATTGATTTTGTTTTAACTGGTTTCAGTGCTCATTCGACCCTTAGTTACCATAACACTGAGCACCCTTAATAAACAATATACCCTTACATAAATTGATCATAACAATAGAGATTAAAAACCAGTACCAACACAATACATAAAGAGTTATGAGTTCAGTTTAATACATTGGTACCATTTTTATTGTCTATTGAATAAATTATAAATCCCAATTTGTTTATTCAAATGAATTATCAGTAAAATTTGGACTGATTGAATGGGTTATTTCAGAAATGGACAAATGTGTCAGTTTTCCTGTTTTGAGTGGAGAGTTGTTCTGGAAACAATGTTAATCAATGCATCTTTTAATGCCAAAAAACATATTGCATAATTTATTTAATGGTTGATTAGGTACATGTTCACAAGAGCTCCGCACAGATTTCATGTGATTCACAATCACTTCGATCACACTTGTTCATGAAATGCTGAAAACAGTCGAATTTTGTTGAATGTTATGACATCAGCTTTTGTCCTAACCACACATTTCCCTTTTAATGAATTTTTGAAAAACCCCAGGCATTTCTACCATGAAACTTCCTTATTAACAATTTATTTACAAATTTGTTAATTATTATTTTTTTGTAACAGTAATTACTCTGGAAGAATATAAATAATATATATAAAATGATAATGATGTAGAGTTGGTTGACCGTTGATATGATATGAGAAGGAATTAGTCAAGGGTGCGGTCAAAAAAATAAAAAAAATTAAAATATATAAATAATTTTAATTTTTGCCGACGTTTCGACCCACTTTGCAGGTCGTCTTCAGGGCTACAAAAGATACAAACATGTTGAAAAAATAAAAATAAAATAAAAAATAAATATAAGTATATATAAATTACGAAGAAGTTGTCAGATACAGAAATAAAAGATAAAGAAAATAAATACATGAATGTTAACGAATAAATGAATGTTAACGAATAAATTGATTGAAAATTGAATAACTATTGTTACAGTAAAGTTAAAATATGGATAAGATAACATAATAATAAGATATCAGTGGATAACAAGCAAGTGGAGGTTACCTTTAATTGTAAATAAACAGATAACGGGACCAAAGGTTAAGAAGTGAAGAAATTGAAAGATTAATAGGGTAACATTAGTGTAATATTGTTGGGATAGATTATTAAGTATAAATAACTCTATAAGAAAACAATAATTTTAAAAGAATACTTTAAAATGTAAGAATAAATGTAAAAACAAGGTTATGATGATAAAGAAACAAAAAACAGGTTGTACTATATATAGATGACAATTGACATTTAGTTTTTTGAAAGCGGTAATGGAATGGTAGGCTGTATGAAGATAATAATAAGGTGTATAGTTGAAGGATAGGTGTGTTAAGAAAGGAATCTCAATAAAAGTCAAAACATACCGTTGGATGTGGCACTGCGGGAGGCGGTTGAAACACTGGCAGTGTCAAAAACTCTAGTTAGCAGTGTCAAAAAAAAAGTTCTAGTAAAAATAAACGCATACATACATACACATATATACACATACAAACACACATACACACACACACACACACATATATATATATATATATATATATATATATATATATATAAAAGGAGAAGTAAAAGAAAGTATAAATGGAAGTGAGAAGATTAAATAGAGGTTTATGATCGAGACTTTTTTAAAATGTTGATGATTTGGGAGTAGGCGAGTGATAGATTTTGCTTGTCGGTTTTTAAGTTAAGTGGTTTGTAGTCTAATTGAATGAAAACACTTTCCGTAAGTAGTCTTTTGGCAATACAATGAAACGCAGAGTTTAATCAACAATTTTGATTAAACTCTGCGTTTCATTGTATAATTAAGGAAAAATGTGTATTGAGGTTGGAAATGAATTTTCGGAAATATGAGTCAAAAGTTATAAGTATAATATATCGTTAAAAGGCAGAGAATTTCAGAAAAAAACATTATCGTAGAAAGTAATGTGGAGTGGCAAAACAATTGTAAATAATAATTTTTGAAATGATATTTAACTTAAATCACATGTTTTCAAGGAAATTAAATGAAATTCACTAACTAAATGTAAACTTTTAAAATATTTTTAAGTCTGAAAAAGTATTTAAAATCCACCTAATCAAGGCAATGACATTGTTAAAAAAACTATTTCATTGTACTTGTGTGAAAGAAGAAGTAAAATATAAAATCATTTCTTGGATGTACAAATCATATGTTTATAATCTTTAATACATTTACTGTAGTTTTATAATTCTAGATCTGATATTATATTTAAATAATTAGGTATCAGTGTCCGTTTATTCCGAAATATAGTCATTTAACTTTTTAGAAAATTAGTTTGATGAAATTTCCTTTTGTGATATTCCAACAGTATCCACTTACAATTAGTGTGACAACTTTTGACCTGTCTATGACAGACAATGCAAATCTCTAAATTCCGTTTTAGTAAACTTTGCAATGGAAAATAACAGTTTAATAACTAATAGTCGTACAATCCATAACCAATGGATCGTGCAATCCATAATCAACGGATCGTACAGTCCATAATCAATTGGTGATATAATAAATAGGACTTTTGTTATTTTACTGGTATTTATGATTTGTTAGTTATAATTTTTATAATAGCCCAACATGCCTGAAAATAATTTCTATTCAAAGTTGAGCGGTAAGTGAAAGTTGTGTGTTGTGCGCACCAGGTTTTTTATTTATATTTCAACAATTAAATGAAAAACTTTCCGTTAATTATTTCAGGCATAACTCGTTCAGAAATGCATGGCAATGAATGTTCAATTCATCCAAATTCCAAAAACTGTTTTTAATAAAATTTGATGAATAACTATTATTTTAGAAATAATTATTTCATGATTATTCCTTTAATTCATTTATTAAATAAATGATGTCAACAATGCCCAGATCGTTAGAGCGATAGGAGTGATAGAGCAGAAGTGATTAGAGCTGTGATTTCATAGTGCCTACAGTGACCATCACTGTTGGGGCGCAGTGATTTCACACTGCCTACAGTGACTATCACTGTGATTTCGGTGCGCCTGTCACTGTGATTACCAACTCCAGTCAGCCACTGTGACACAGCTCCGCCTATATGGTCCCATCACTAATTGTAATTTTTTTTTTCTTTTAGATTTAGTCTAAATATCGAATATAAGTTGGCTCATGCGGATAATGCCATTTAACTGTTCATGTTTAAGGGTATAAAAGTACTTTAATAGCAGGAAAGTTATTAGAAACTGACTCAAGAGATCGGTTGCCTTCATTCTCTTTTGGATAAACCCGGACGCCATGAACAAGTGTGATCAAAGTGATTATGAACTACGTGTAATCCGTGTGGAACTCATGTGAACTAGTACCGTTTGTTATTTATACTATTTATTTTTTAAAACTTTTACCTCTTAAAAGTGCAGTACAAAAGAGTTTTTCTTGTTTCTCAAAATCTTAATAATATCACAGGTGTGGTTTTTGAAATAACTGATTCAATTATCATTTTAATTTAATGAAACAGTATTTTGACATATTCCTAATCTATTACACAGAATTTCTTTATTTTCTGGGAAGTTAATAAGATTTATATCAATGTAATTATAGTGTGAAGCAGTAATGCTATATTGTGTCATCATGTAATTTATAATTACCTTAATTTGTCCTTGTTTTTCAAGATGTATAAATTTTTAATGTGATGGGGCTATAAAAATTTGTGGGGCCTATATTCTGACTAGAGTATGGGTTCTTAAACTTAAGCTAAAGAACCTGTTTCGTTTTTCAAGATTTATACATTATTAATGTGATAGGGACTATAAAAATATTGGGGGCCTATATTCTGACTATAGTACGGGTTCTTAAACTTAAGCTAAGGAACCTGTCTCGAACAACTTTTTTTTTATATGTTTTTATTGGCAGGGTAAAAATATTTGAGGATAAATTAAGTTCTAATAGGGACCAACACCACTAATTTAGATCATGGGTTCTTAAATTTAATTAGATCAAGGAATCTGTCTTAACAATATTTTTTGTGAACCCCATTCCAACTTCAGCCATTTCACATTGTTATAATAATAACTTGTTATGTAACAACAAACTCAAAAAGTCTTGACCATGCCAGAGTTATGTTAAATGTGTTGTTTAAGTAGAAGTGAAATATTGGGAAATGTGAAGGTAATTTCAAAATTGTTTTGCGGACCCTTTCAATAATGACTGCGTGGATTAGCAAGGGTCCTCAGACCACAGTTTTAAGAACCTATGCTCCAGGCGCTTTGTAAAATTTGTTTATAAAATTAAAATAAGATTGGTTGATAATAGTGGGGCATTGACATAACTTTGCTTTTTGTTTTATAGGGAAGACTGCCATTGCTATGGGTATTTCAAAATCACTTGGTAAAGATACTCCATTCACAGCTATGGCTGGGTCTGAAATTTACAGTCTTGAAATGAGTAAAACAGAAGCTCTGACACAAGCAATACGGAAGTCTATTGGCATCCGGATAAAAGAAGAAACTGAAATCATTGAAGGTGAAGTTGTCGAAATACAGGTGGAACGACCAGCTACAGGAGTTGGTGCCAAAGTTGGAAAACTCACTTTAAAGACTACAGAAATGGAAACTGTCTACGACCTTGGAACAAAGATGATTGATGCTCTTACCAAAGAAAAGGTTCAGTCGGGTGATGTAATTACTATTGACAAGGCTACTGGTAAAATTAGCCGAATCGGTAGATCATTTACCAGAGCAAGAGATTATGATGCGACTGGTCCTCAGACTAGGTTTGTCCAGTGCCCTGAGGGAGAGTTACAAAAGAGAAAGGAAGTTGTACATACTGTGTCAATACATGAAATTGATGTCATTAATTCTAGGACACATGGATTCTTAGCTCTCTTCTCAGGTAACATTCTTTCTGTTTAATAATTATGTTAGCATTGCCTTTATTGGTTCATAGTTTTTGTATTATCTGACCATAGTTTTTAAATTAAACTCAGTCATAATATTATTAATCATGTTAACTTAAATTTTTTCTACCATGAATTTAATATTCATCAAATTCTTTATGGAAAAATGGTTTTGAAGGTAAATAAATAATATTTTATTTTTAGGTGATACTGGTGAAATCAAGCCAGAAGTTAGAGAACAAATCAATACAAAAATTGCTGAATGGAGAGAAGAAGGAAAAGCAGAAATCTCACCTGGTGTTTTGTTCATTGATGAAGTTCATATGCTTGATATTGAATGCTTCTCATTTTTGAATCGAGCTCTTGAAGATGAGATGGCGCCCGTTGTTATTATGGCTACAAACCGAGGTATCACTAACATCAGAGGAACTAATTATACATCACCTCATGGAATTCCTATTGATCTCTTAGACAGGATGATAATCATTTCCACCTCGCAATACAGGGAGAGTGAGCTTAGAGAAATTTTGAAAATTAGGTAACCCTCACCTCAAAAAAAAAAAAAAGTTTGATGTAACATTGCAGTGTTGATTTTGGATAATTTTACATGTTTGTTATAAGGTGCGAAGAAGAAGATTGTGAATTGTCTGATGATGCTTTGACAGTTCTTACTAGGATAGCTATGGAGACTAGCCTACGGTACGCCATACAACTGATAACACTAGCAGGCCTGGTATCCAGACGGAGAAAGAGTAATGAGGTTTGTTCTTTTACAACTTTCATGCTCATAACTGTTCAATATTGCTTGAGTTCTTATTTTCAATTTCTTATTCTTACTTTTATTTCTTATTTGGAATATTTAAGATAAGCCCTAAACTTTTAAAAAATTATTTTTAGAGAATAACAATTGTATAGAAATATCATGACTAATAAAAGTTTTGTTTGACTAATGATAAAAAAAGTAAAAAAACTTCAACTATGTAAATATGTGGTCCAAGCTCCTTGAATAGTAATAGATAATTGATCAGCAATCAAACTGATAATTTAATTACTGTTTATGTCTATCTTAAAATGTTATTTTAGTTATTGTTATTTTATAAATAAAAATAACGCTCATTATCCGGAGGTAAACTAGTCCCCCGTTCGGGTCTCCGGGTGGGGACTGCTTTAGGAGATTCATGCCGCAAGTTGAAATATAGGGATTTAAATATTGGTATGTGGAACGTAAGGAGTTTAAACACAGCAGGGGGGCTAAAATCGGTCGCGAATGAGGTAAATGGGTACAATTTGGATGTCGTGGCTCTGCAAGAGGTTCGCTGGCCAGGGGAGGGCTCGATGAGGGAAGGAAAGTACACTATTTGGTACGGAGGAAGCGGGAATCATTGTTTAGGTACCGGGTTTCTAATTAGGAGTAGATTACTATCCGCTTTGAGGGACGTACAATTCTTTAGTGATAGAATTTCGGTAGCTACATTTCAGGGACGTTGGTTTAAAATCGCATTAATAAACATACATTGTCCGACCGAAGACAGTGACGATGAAGTCAAAAGTGAATTTTACGATAAACTCGAATGGGTTTATGATAAACTACCGCGAAACTACATGAAAATAATTGTAGGTGACGCGAACGCAAAGGTAGGAAGGGAAGAAGTTTATATTCAGACGATTGGTAAAGAAAGTTTGCACGAATATAGTAATGATAATGGGATCCGTCTGATAAACTTTGCCATCTCGAAAAACCTGGTAATTAAAAGTACGACGTTTAAACGTAAGGATATTCATAAATATACTTGGACATCGCCGGATTCGCAAACACGAAATCAAATCGATCATGTCTTGATACAACACAGCTGGCAAAGCAGTATAATCAATGTACGGTCTTATCGCGGAGCAGAATGTGGGTCGGATCATGAATTAGTAATCGCGAAACTTCGACAAAAACTTAATATAAAAAAGAGAAAAGAAAACCGTTTCGATTTTGAGAATTTTAATTTGGAAAAATTAAAAAATCCATCAATTAGAAACCAATTCGAGCTAGATGTTAAGAATAGGTTTGAAGCTTTAGAGCTTCCTGACGAGGACCACGAGGATATTGACAAGTTATGGGTAGAGATCAGGGATAATATTAAAGCGGTCGGTAACTCGTGTCTAGGAAAAAAGGAAAATAAGAATAACAAACCGTGGTTTGATGAAGATTGCTTAAACATGTGCGAAAAAAGGAAAGCCGCTAAATTAAAAGCTCTAAATAATCCTAGCGAAGACAATCTGGAATACTTCCGAATCTCAAAGAACGAAACGACAAAATTGCTCAAAAATAAAAAAAGGGAGTATCTTAAAAATAAAATAATTGAAATAGAAACTAATAGAATCGAAAATAACGTAAGAGACATGTACAAAGGTATAAACAGATCACGTAAATATGTAGGGCCCGTAACGTCTGGAATTAGGGATGATAATAACAATATTCTGACCGATCCGGTTGACATATTGAATAAGTTTAAGGAGCACTTTGACAATATTTTAAATACGGGAAATTATGATCGGTGTCCTCCTTCTGAGTACCAGAGTGCTGAACCATTAATAGAAGGACCAAGTAAAGAGGAAGTTGAAGTAGCTATCGGTAAATTAAAATCATATAAAGCAGCGGGAATCGATAATATTCCTACTGAACTAATTAAGGCATGCGGGGAAGCTGGAGTTTCTAAAATACATCGGTTGGTTGAAAAGATCTGGGTGAACGAGAAATTACCTGAAGAATGGAAAGAATCTATTCTTATTCCGATTCACAAAAAGGGTCCGAGGACGGATTGTAATAACTATCGAGGAATTTCACTCCTTCCGGTATGTTATAAAATATTCACTGTAATCTTAACCAGTCGAATCACGGAATACGCCGAGGAAATTATCGGAGACTACCAATGCGGATTTAGACGGAATCGTTCGACTATTGATCAAATATTTTCTTTACGGCAAATATTAGAGAAAAAATTGGAGTATAACGGTATTGTTCACCAGCTGTATATAGATTTTAAAAAGGCTTACGATTCTATTGACCGCCAGAAACTGTATAATATTCTAATCGAGCAGGGAATTCCAAAAAAACTAGTAAATCTAGTCAGGATGTGCTTGACGGAGACACTCAATAAAGTTAGAATCGGTAATAATTTGTCCGAAAAATTTGAGGTTCGTTCGGGCTTAAAACAGGGGGATTCTCTTTCGCCTGTCCTGTTCAATTTGGCATTAGAACATGCCATTAGGGAGGTAATGCGTACCGAGAAAGGGTTGGATCTGGGCGGGACAACATCCGTGCTGGGCTATGCTGATGATCTGGTACTGTTAAGCGAAGACGTTGAAACTATAAAACTAAATACGACAACGTTAATGAAAGCCGGTAAAGAACTAGGACTCGAAATAAACGTGGATAAAACAAAATATATGGTTAGCTGCAAAAATGGCGATACTACTGGTGATATCGATATAGATGGTAATATGTTTGAACAGGTAGATAAATTTAGGTATCTAGGTTCTACGATAACTAGAAAAAACGAAATTGAAGAAGAGATTAAAGTTAGACTGAAGGCGGGGAATGCTTGTTATTTTTCTGTGACAAAACTACTCAGTTCGCGCCTCTTGTCCCGAAACTTAAAAATTAGAATCTATAAAACAATTATCTTGCCTACAGTTCTTTATGGATGCGAAACTTGGCCGCTTACATTAAGGGATGAGCAGCGTCTTAAGGTTTTTGAAAATAAAGTATTGCGTAGAATATTCGGACCGAAGAAGGATGAGTTAACCGGAGAGTTCAGACGGTTACACAACGCCGAATTGCGTGAGCTATATCCGGGTAATATAATTGAGGTAATTTCATCGCAGCGAATCAAATGGGCTTGTAAAGTTGTTGGTCTTAGTAACGAGAGAATTCCTAAAAGGTTAATATTTGCTGTGCCGAATGGTAAGCGTCGGAGGGGTAGACCGAAGCGAAGGTGGGAAGATTGCATTAAAGCTGATCTGAAGGGACTGGGTTTGGACGGCGAACGGTGGAGGGAGGTGTGTAACAAGCGATTGGTGGTGTCGGCATCGAACCTTCGGGTTCGCTAAGCCTTATTATATTATTATTATTTCCATTCTTTATTCTCGCTTTGCGGGGTAAGTTTCTGAGGTGGGAGACCAGAAGTCCAGCCACTTCAGATTAATATCTATTACTTTTTAGATATTTAAAAACTTTCGAACAATACGCGCCGTATCCAAGAGAACTGAGTGTTGAGCCTCTTTCAGCACTTCAAGAGGTAATTTTAATCCCATCGTGCCTGCCACTGTTGTCTTTGGTATTAATCCATTGGAAGATATTATAATTGGAGTGGTGGTGACGTTCCCCAAATGATATAATTCCTTCAGTTCGATTGCCAGTTCCTGGTATTTTCTCAGTTTTTCTCCAACAGTGGAGCTTATATTATTATCATTGGGTATCCCGACATCAATAAGCTCTGCTCTTTTCTCTCTCATGTCTATCAGAAGGATGTCTGGTTTATTGTGACGCACAGTATGGTCAGTTATTATCGATTCATCCCAGTAGAGCTTGAGACTACCTTTTTGGAGGAGTTTATTTGGGTGGTACTTATAATATGGAGTTTTGTCATCTAACAAGTTGAACTTCACCGCCAGAGCCTGATGAAAAATTCTAGGCACATTGTTATGCCTCTGGAGATACTCGGTGCCAGCCAACACTCCACACCCACCTGTGATATGTTGGATTGATTCCAGCGTCGCTGAGCATAATCGACATTTATCCGTAGTTGTTGCGTCTTTAAGAACATGCCTTCTATATGATCTAGTAGCAATAACTTGGTCTTGGATGGCGAGCAGAAATCCTTCTGTCTCGGAGAATATCTTTCCAGCTTTCAGCCATTCAATGGATATTTCCTTGTCAATCGAGCTATCATTTAATTTGCTGTAGAATCTTCCATGCAGAGATTTATTTTTCCATTCTGCCAAGCGTTCGTTTTCTGACACGATTGTAGAGACCTCACGATTGCTCAGGTTAAGTGCGGTTAGACCATAATCCAATCTTGAGATTGCGAGGTAAACCTCAGTTGTTTTTGTAAGAAAGTATCGGCGTAGGGCCGCTTCCTGCTTGCGGCTTATTATTATTATTATCTCTTTATTTTTCACATATACAATGGTGTTTAAATTATGTAATAGTTGGGGACCTATTAGGTCAGCCAAAAATTACATTTGTATATTTTCTTAATTATTTTATATTTGTGAACTTCCTGACAATATTTGCTGTTCCCAATAACACCGCTTGTTGCATTCTTTCGATCGTCTGAGATGGTAGTTCTAGTAGTCGCAGAGAAGATACAGTTTCTTCCGGTATCAGTCCGTTGCACGAGATTACAATTGGCAGAATTCGGGTTTCCTTCAAATGATATAATTGTTTGATCTCTTCAGCCAATTCTACGTACTTTCTCTTTTTTTCCGCTACTACCTTGTGTAGGTTATCATCAGAAGGAACTCCAATCTCTATGATAAACGCAGATTGCTTACTTTTATCTATTATAAGAATGTCTGGTCTTTATTATTATTATTATTATTATTATTATTATTATAAATAAAAATGAAACAGAAATTTTTGAAAGTTTATATTCAAATTATAAATTCCTAATATAGTATTTATTTTATTAATCAAATTTATACAAAGCATTGCAGTTAGCATTTACTTTACATGTAAATTACCATTATTTGAGTCATTTTATTGATTAAAAGTCCGTTTAATATATTTTACAGGTAGAAATTGAAGATGTAAAGAAAGTCTATTCTTTGTTTTTGGATGAAGGAAGGTCAACACAGATCTTGAGTGAATACCAAGATCAATACCTTTACGATCAGAAGCCTGATGTTGGTAAGTTGTTTTAAATAGATTCTAAAAAATAACAAATAAGAAAGCTTTGGATTATGTCCGAATGATCTTCAAAACACAGAACACTATGTGGTTGCACATTTTACTTTATTTCCAATTATTTACTTATATTTTTAACATAGTCTTCAATCTGTTTTATAAATTCTTTAAATTATATTTAAATTAAATTAAATTTAAAAGTTTATATCCGAATAAAAAATATTACATAATGATGTAGAGATGGTTGACCGTTGGTATAATGTGAGAAGGAATTGATCGGGGGGTGCGGTCAAATTAATACTAAATTAAACAAGTAAAATTATTTAATTTTTGCCGACGTTTTGACCCACTTTGCAGGTCTTCATCAGGGCGTAGGATGTAGCACTGCGGGAGGCAGTTGAAACACTGAAGTTGAAACTCCGGTGTTTACACCCTGATTAATTTGACCGCACCCCCCGATCAACTCCTTCTCATATTATATCAACGGTCAACCATCTCTACATCATTATAAATACATTACCACGGGGTCAACAACTAGATACAAACCCACTATCCATACGTCGCAGTTCCAGACTCAATGCCATATCAAACAATCCACAACTGTCTTCCGCACATCAGAACCTCTCTTTTCTTCCCACTCGTCGCAATACCAGATTTCAAAAACCTTCCGGAACTTTTCATCACGCAGCACCGATATCTAATCACTTCTCTTCACACTCTTCTTCATCTTCATTCAACAATTCTTCACATGATGACTTATTGACCCCTTCAGTTTTAAACTCCTCCTCTCTATTAAGTTCCGCTCTCAGTCAAGCTAATTTATCCTTCTCATTTTTCAAAACCATTTACTCTAGTCACAGATACCACATTAACAACCTATGCTCGCTCCACAAACGCCCTGCCGACACGTTAGAACAGCGCATTTTTTTACTGAAATGCCGCTCCAACTCCCTTTTCCCGAAATCAATCACTGATTCCCTCAATCACATTATTATTTCCAAACCACTCAATTCCAAATTATCAAACTGTTCTTTAAAATTCAAAAAATCCTTCCTTAATTTGAAAATCCGTGAAATCATAGAGCATATCCATCACCTCAACCAACAAATTTCCATTCCAACCAAACATTAACAACCTATGCTCGCTCCACAAACGCCTTGCCGACACGTTAGAACAGCGCATTTTTTTACTGAAATGCCGCTCCAACTCCCTTTTCCCGAAATCAATCACTAATTCCCTCAATCACATTATTATTTCCAAACCACTCAATTCCAAATTATCAAACTGTTCTTTAAAATTCAAAAAATCCTTTCTTAATTTGAAAATCCGTGAAATCATAGAGCATATCCATCACCTCAACCAACAAATTTCCTCCAGCACTCAATTATTACAAACCATCATGACTGACGAACACATGACTAACCTATCACATATTATTTCCACCATCTTTATTACTACCAGATCTAAGAAAAAAAGTATTCTCATCACTAAATTTAATGAAATTTTTCAACAATCGTTAGTCCATAAGATATACCCAAAAGGAGACGATAATTGGGTCCACAATTCCTCATCCATAGATATTCCCTCCAACATCCTCAATATTTTAAGCTTAGGCCCAGTGTTTCAACTGCCTCCCGCAGTGCTACATCCTTCGCCCTGATGAAGACCTGCAAAGTGGGTCGAAACGTCGGCAAAAAATTAAATAATTCTACTTGTTTAATTTAGTATTAATTTGACCGCACCCCCCGATCAACTCATCAAAAAATATTACAGTTTTGACAACATAAATTTAAGAAATAATTGATTAATTTATTAGGTTATAGAGAATATTATCATCTTGCTTGAAGAATTCTTGTTACAATAATTAATTTTTCTTCATAATGTGAATGAAAACCTAATCTGTTGGTCAGTACAGAGCAGTGTTAAGGAGAGGAAAATGAAAGGGGCACTTGTATTGGGCAGCAAATGTAGATGGAAATTTTATTTTTAGTTGAAATAAATAAGATTTGTTTTTGCTTTTGGATTTTTTTGACATTGATTCATTAAACAAAAGTTAATGTTTTGTGATAACGTTATTTATTTTCAAATGTATACTTAGTTTACTGTTAACCATAATTGGAGGAGGGTGGAAGAGATGTGAAAGAAGGGGCAGCAAGATTAAGCTTTTCCCCTTTCCCTGGCCAAAATTCTAGTTCTAGGTTAGTGCCTTCAAAATTATCGGATATTGATGTTAAACTTATTTAGAGAATTTATAACAATCTTGAAGCTATGGCCATAGAATAATTTTAGTTATATTAAAATTTCAACTTTTTTCAGTAGTTAATACAATCCATTGTAAATCATAAAAAATTGCTGCTTTAGTTTATAATTATTTAACATGATAATTTACTTACTTTCCAGGTGGAAGTGGAGAACCAATGGATCTGTGAAACATTTTTAGATCACCTTTATCCTATTCCATTAATTTTCTATCTTAAATAACATTACATTAATAAAATTATGTACAAATTTATATTTAGTTAAACTGTTAATTTTTTTAATTTGTGTTTTTTTTACTCCTTTTGTCTGATTCTTTTTTGTTTTAATGACTATTATTAATGGAACATGTATGATCCTTATGATACAATAAGGCAAATTTCTTTTAACTAACCAAAATTTTGGCCTTCTTTGTAGTCATCAAGAATATTTTATTAAGCATATAGCCATATTTATTTGCCTTACTTTAAACTTTCTATTAACAATATTATTATTTAAAAAAAATAATATTCACTATAATAAAATTGTTTCTTCTGGCTAAGAGGCCCGATTCTTTTACAAATTCAATTTTATTAAATCAATTTGAATATGTATGGACAAGCAGTGAAAATACTATTATATAATTGAAGAGCCAATGAATGGTTATGAATAACATTTTCCGAGTACAGGAAAAACTGAATTCAATTAACTTTATCCAAGGATGTCCAGCATGAAGTTACATGATGAAAGTTGCCATTAAAAATTTTGAGAGGAGCACATTTCTACGGGGTTTTGAATTTTTTAGGGGAGCAAATTTTGACAAGATTCGAAATCAGGGGAAAAGATATTTTAATGGGGTTTCAATTAAGATGAACTTCAAACCAGAGAAAACAGTAAGTGTTAGATCTACATTTATCACATTCTAATTTCGCTTGCTCTGTTTTAAGAAGAGAAGAACAAATGAGATTTCTTGCAGGAAGGGGAAGGAGAGGATGGAGAAGGGATGAAACTACTTTGGGGGAATGGAAACCCTTGCCTTTATCCACAAAATGTGTTTTGTCTCTTAGCGTCTTTTGTGTGGCGGCGGGGTGGCCAAGTGCGCTAATGCATGTGCACAGCACCGCATATTGTCCAGCAACCTGATAGCCAAAGTTAGATGGAAAAATATTACGAGCCAAATCTCAGTATCAGGTAGGAATTTTATCTCGTAAAAAATCCCCTTGCAGCTTAAAAAATGTAAAGAAGGGAAGAACAAAAAAAAAGCATTTTTGAGTCAATTACTGAGTTTATGTTAGTAGAAAGAGAAAATATTAAAAATATATGACATTAAACCATTTTTTTAATTTCCTACCTATACTAGGTAAAGAAAGTATTGCAATGAGGTCAAATTTCCGATATGTGGTTTTTGACGGATCTATACGTTTCAGAGCCCCCTGATTCCGAAAAACATTTTTAGCCATTGGTCTGTCTGATTTTGTAGGGTTTTGACTACTGATGCCTGTGACAGAAATTCGGTGCTCCATGCACAATAGCTTGCGCGCGATAAATGAAAAACACGTTTTTCTATAGACGGTAGCGCAAAAACAGCTCTAACGATTTTGATGAAACTTTCCTATAATGTTCTAATCATTGTCCTTTCAATTTTCGTATATAGACTAAATTCCCTAAAAAATTCAGGAAAAAAATTACTTTTTACACTATTTCCTCTACTTTTAACAGAAATTATTGTTTGGCAATACTAAGCTATGGCTAAATGTTTTTGATCAGCAATATTAGAGAGTATTGAAATTTTTACACTGATCTACCTTAAGCCGATTTACATTGCTTTAATCTATCGAATAAATCGTACTCAAAACTTTTCTTTGACTAATTTTCTGGGAAATAAACCTAATTACATTTTTTTTTGTTTTTTTATGGACATGTGTAAAGATATTAAAACTTTTCTAAAATAGGTAGGAAAGTCGTGTAAGAAAAACACACCAGATGTTTTTCCCCATTAATTTAATTTTTCTAAACATATGATATGTCATCTTTATCCACTTGGTAATTCGATAGTTCATATTTAAACTTTTTAACTTCTTGTTCTTCATTCTTCCTATTTTGGGAAGTAATACGTGATGTCCAGTTTTTCTTGACCATCGTAAAAGATGTCTGAGGGCTGGGCTATGTGCAACTTTTTAACTGCTGCTAAATTAATTTGTTTATCCAAGTATCAATTGATTCATTAAATCTTTTCTGTCTAATAATATTTTAAGCAATATAACCCTTCTAACATTAAGCTTTCCTCTCTAAGGTTGTTATAAGTTACCTACCTTAATTTAAAATAAGTTGAGATGGAAAATAACACAGATATGTGTTTCGTTAATAATAAAATAGATAATTAAAACTACAATGTATTTAGGTGTAAAATAAGCCTCTATTTAAACCTTTTACCCTTGATAATGGTCTTGAGTAGGGGTCTCTAAATGTTTAGGCCCATGAACTCCATTTAGACCTCCACTAAGTCCTGCGAGATCTGGCTTGTGTTGAAAAAAAAATCTTGTTTAATAAATGGCACTTCATTTTTGAAATAAGCTATATAAGAGAAGCAACTCATGCAAAAAATGTTCTAGTAAAAAAATATTCACACGTGCAAATGTTAAATTTCTCCTGTAAACAATCCTTTTTTTTTTTTAAATTCCATATAAATAAAAGAGCAACTGTTCATTAACCTGTTAATCCCCTCAAGTCCACTGGAACAGATTTGCAATAAAAACAATATCTTCTTTTGTACTTAGTGATATTTTAATTTAAATAATTTATTTAGGTATATGAAAATCTTAACAGCATTTCTCTCATAAATTTCTTTTATTAATGTATATGTGACGTTTTGGGATTTATTTTATCCCATCTCCCAAACTGTTTTATTATCTTGGTATCATCTCAATTTATCATAAGACTTTTCATTTTTTCTATTTAAAAATTCCTTTAATTTCAGTGTGAAGGGCCTAGTCATTTAAGTGTTGAGTAGACTTTCCCTAGAGCAGGGTCCACCCAAGAAAAAAAAAAAAAAAAGATACTGCAAATTATTACAAAATGGTTTATTATTTCCAAACAATTGTACATCAAAATTAACATTGCTTCACTTATAATATAAAGTCAAATAAATAAAAGATGATTTCCTAATATTGACCTAATTTTTTTTTCATTCTTAGTAATTTGCTAAGACAAATGGATATTGATTCAGTTGATGTAATTCTATCTAAAAATCCAAAATAAGAGCAAAGTATACAAACTTTGCAGTAGAACATATGAAAAATATTTAAAACACTACATCTTTGCTACAAATTGTTCGATTTCAAAGATTGTTTGTTTTTTCTCGGAAATTTAATAAACTTTTAAATAACCATATAATACCAATAAAAATGTGTACTTTATTTTTTTATTATTTTATTTTCTTCTTTCCTTGCCTCTGGGCAATACAGATTTTTGGTAGAAGTAGCGTGAGATTGAAGTGATCATACCCCACTAATTCCTTCTACCTGTACAGGAGCAAGCAGGGTGCCCAGAAAATGTTACATGTTGCAAGTTGTGCCATCAAAATATTTGAGGGGGGGGGGGTGCACATATTGACGAGGTTTTGTATTTTTGAAGGATGCCCATTTCGTCAGCATTAAAGGCTATGAATTTTCGGAATGATAAGTTCAAACCAAGGGACAAGAGAAAAGGGAAGAACAGAACACTGAAAGTGTAATCATTTATGGGCTCTGATTTTTAAAATTCTACTTTACCTTGCACTGTTTTTAAGAACAGGAGAACAAGAAAATATCTAGGAAGTAGTGGGTGGAGGTTTTTGCGCCATCAACCTTGGGAGGGAGGGGGAAGGATCCCTCTGGTAGCACTGTTACTTTATCTTTTCTTACTAGCTGAGGAAAATCGTCCTCTGTGATGATGTAAAGTCCCATCATCATGGAGGACGATTGTGGGCGGGATGGCCGAATGGGATTACGCGTGTGCAAAGCACCGCCGCACACTGGGGCGAAACACAAAATTATTGAACATTGTAGTTTTGTGGCCAGACTGTTGGCCGTACGAAAAAAAGTTAAACATAAACCCCCATTATTTTTTAATGAGGAATCGATTTCTGTATTCAGATTTTAATTTTGATGTACAGAGTGGCTCAGAAGATTTTTTTTTTTTTAATTGGACCCCTATGATTTGACGCCGTAAATTTATTCCACACCCTATTTCCAGCAACTTTTACTTAGGTCACTTGTTTTGATAGGGTAACCGTATCCTTATAAAAGGGTTACGGTTTTTTTCGGCAAACCAACCCCCCCCCCCCTCCCTTTTCCATATAAGAGTAGGTACCATTCAATTCACAATAAAAAAACTTGAAAAATATCTATAAAAAATTTTACTCAAAATATTATAATTAGTTACCTTTACTAATATGTTATTAAATTTTAGATAAACATTCTAAAAAAAAAATTAGATAAAGATGATAAACCAAAAGTTAAATTAGGAAATGTTTTTTATTTATTATCGATATAAATGCATACTATCGAATCTGAAAATCACCAGTCTAATGTCATTATCAATTCAGCCCAAACAACGAGGATGATTTAATTTTCATACTAATATGAGCTTTTATGAATGTTTAAAGATTTTTTTATTCGCTTTTTAAAAACATTTAATTACAATTACAATCCTAGAGTGAACATTTTTTATATTCGATAGTTAGCATTTGTATCGACGATATTCTTCTTCATATGCAAAGAAAAAACAAAATTTGGAAAAATAACAATAAGAATGGTCTCCATTTGAAAGTTTAATTATTGAATATTCACCCCGTCAAGTGTATTAATGGAAATCATTTTAATGAAACATTGATTAACAATGGAACACAAATATCGGCGGTAAGGACCTAGCTGCCCCTGTTATTAACCAACCGGTGAGGAATTTGTTAGCCGGTGTCCATTGTCTTGGGGCCCCAAGCCTAGTGGGCCCCTTCCCCGCCTCCTAATTTATTACCGTTTTGTTTTTTATTAAGTTGCCCATTTGCATTCCCGACCCCGTGCTATTAATTTTGTGGGAACTATAATTGTTTAATGGAAGGCCGTGAGATTTGTCGTTGCAGGTGTGCCGACTACTCGAACTGGTTTAACTTTATTTTCTATCCTACCGCTCTACTAGTTCCTGAATCCAAAATCCTTTTCGCAACAAAAGGGGAAGAGGAAGTTCTATAATTCGAAGTAGACCATTTCTTCGCTCTATAATCCGAAATTTTCCTAGTAATTTTTTACATGAAGTTATGTATATATATACATAAGTCGGCTCTTGATAATTGCAAATACAGGAGACTACAAGAAAGTTATAGAGATTTCGAATTATTTAGAAGTTTGAATT